TTACTAGATAACGTGCTATACTTACAGGTTAACGTGCTATACTTACTAGATAACGTACTATACTTACAAGTTAATGTGCTATACTTACAGGCTAACATGTTATACTTAAGGGTTAACGTGCTATACTTACTGGTTAACGTGCTATACTTACAGGGTAACGTGCTATACTTACTGGTTAACGTGCTATATTTACTGATTAACGTGCTATACTTACAGGATAACGTGCTATACTTACAGGGCAACGTGCTATACTTACAGGATAACATGATATACTTACAGGGTAACGTGCTATACTTACTGGTTAACGTGCTATACTTACAGGATAACGTGCTATACTTACAGGACTTGATTTCTTGAGTCGACTCAAAACTGTATATGAGTCGACTCATAACTGATGAGTCGACTCATAAACTGATGAGTCGACCGAGCAGAAACTTTTGACAAAACGACTACATTTCGTGAGTCGACTCATGACAGGCATGAGTCGACTCAACCTGATGAGTCGACTCATGTACATGTATGTGTCGACTCACGAGCTAAAAACTGGATTCTTCGAATCTGCTGTACGTTAACCTGTAATTTTAGCACGCTAATCTATAAGTATAGCACGTTAATCAGTAAGTATAGCATGTTAACCTGTAAGTATAGCATATTAACTTGTAAGTATAGCACGTTAATCAGTAAGTATAGCACGTTAACCTGTAAGTATAGTATGTTAACCTGTAAGTATAGCACATTAACTTGTAAGTATAGCACGTTACCCTTTAAGTATAGCACGTTAACCTGTAAGTATAACACGTTAACCAGTAAGTATAGCATGTTAACATGTAAGTATAGCACATTAACCTATAAGTATAGCACGTTATCCTGTAAGTATAGCATATTAATCAGTAAGTATAGCACGTTACTCTGTAAGTATAGCACGTTGACCAGTAAGTATAGCATGTTACCCTGTAAGTATAGCATGTTATCCTGTAAGTATAGCACATTAACCAGTAAGTATAGCACGTTACCCTGTAAGTATAGCACGTTAACCAGTAAGTATAGCACGTTAACCTGTAAGTATAGCACGTTAACCTGTAACTATAGCACGTTAACCCTTAAGTATAGCACGTTAACCTGTAAGTATAGCACGTTAACCAATAAGTATAGCACGTTAACCTGTAAGTATAGCATATTAACCTGTAAGTATAGCACGTTATCTAGTAAGTATAGCACGTTAACCTGTAAGTATAGCACGTTAACTAGTAAGTATAGCACGTTAACCTGTAAGTATAGCACGTTAACCTGTAAGTATAGCACGTTAACCTGTAAGTATAGCACATTAACCTGCAAGTATAGCATGTTAACCAGTAAGTATAACACGTTAATCTGTAAGTATAGCACGTTAACCTATAAGTATAGCACGTTAACTTGTAAGCATAGCATGTTATCCTGTAAGTATAGCACGTTATCCAGTAAGTATAGCATATTAACCAGTAAGTATAGCACGTTATCTTGTAAGTATAGCACGTTATCTTGTAAGTATAACATGTTATCCAAAAAATCAAGGGAAGACAATGGTGAGTATAGCACGTCATATCCAGCTTCACTACTATTTTCCTTTCCCTTTGCTAGCACTTGCATTCAACTAACATCCACATTAAAGTACCAGAATTTATTTTCAAGGGTAAAAAGATAACTTCACCAGGCTTCAACACATAACATATGTTAACCCCCATCAATTACCATCATACTAAATCAAGTAAGTAGATAAACTACACCATAGTACTCTAAATATTATTCTCAATCAACTGAATTTTACATCACCATCAAAAATTAAGCATAATTATGCAAAAATAAATAAATATAGCATCCAAATAAAACCAGTTCTTAAAAAAACTTCACCACCTCATCATGTGAATTACATCTCACTAATCGCCCTCATACATTACAAACACATCAACACACTCGTACATTACAAACATATCAACACATCAATATAGCTTCGTGTCGAGGGCGGCGAGGGGGCAGTCGACGGCAACGGAGGCAATGACCATAATATCCCAAACACCAATCGCTTCGCTCAACATTCGAGCTTTTAGGAGCCCTTTAATAAGCAACGTATACGTCACAACAGTCGGCAAACATCCCGAATCTATTATTTTTCCAAACAAACCAAAACCCAAAGGAACGTTGCTAACTTGGCACAACACGACAATCAAAATTCTCCAAATCTCCACGGTAGGCCGCAGACCTGAAACAAGCATAAACCCCATCAACTGAAAGACCTCCTTGATTCTCCCCACCTTCTTAAAACAATCTAAACTTAAAGTAAATGACCCAACGTTGAGCTGAAATCCTCTCCTAACCATCTCCCTCAAAACTCCTCACACCTCTCGCCAATCCCCGTGCTCGCAAAGATTTCTCATCACAATGTTAAAAGTAAAGAAATTCGGCATCTGGGTCTCTCTAAAAAATCTCATCCCTTCGCAAAACTGACCGCTCTTAAACAGCCCATCGATAATCAAATTTCTCGCAAGCGTGTTCCGCACGAACCCTCTCCTACCCATTTCATCAAACACCTCTCGGGCGAAGATAAACATGTCCCCTCTGCAGTAGACCCTCATCAAGATCAGGAAAGTTTTGGCCTCCGCAGGAGACCCGATAGCCTCCAGCTCCTCCACAATGTCGGCGACGGACCTGAGCTTGAATGTCAAGCGGCAGAGGACGGGGATCATTACATCGAGCGAGTCGCGGGCGTGGAAGAAGTCGGGCTGGCGAGAGCACCAGAGGAAGAAGCTGAGGGAGATTGAGTTCGATGGGCATCTGGAGAGGGTCGAGTTGATGAGGGCGGCTAGAGACGAGCGACGACTGCTGGAGATGGGCGCCGACGGCTGGAGACGGGCGCCGACGGCCTGAGACGGGCGACGGTGGCAATGGGCTTTTATTTTTTAATTTAGGGCTGAGTTGAGAAAAGGTTGAGGAGGAGGAGAGATATTTATATGGGGCCAAGGGGTATTTTTGGGATTCTGTATAAATACAAGTGCTAAAAGTACTGTATTTTAAAGTTTGGGTTTAAAGATAAATACAAAAAGTGAATTGGGCTTAAAGATACAAATAATAGTACTTGGGTTTAAAAATAAATGGGAGTAAACAAATGGGTCCAAAAGCAAAAACCCCTTTTTATTTTTATGTTTGTTTCCCTCTCTTTATGCTTAGTGGCATAGAGTAAAGAGCTAAATCACATAAAAAGAGCTAAATTACATGACGTGACATTTTTTAGGGCTGAGCCATAATGAAAAAAGTGGAGGGACTAGGTCACATGAAGTTATTACTTTTGGGGTCTTGACACAATTTTCCCTAGGTTTATTTTTGAGAAACCACTTTTCAATGCCAATTCATATATAAATTATCTTTAAATGATTTTTTTTTAACAATTAACCAGACAGACTCACTTTTCAATCAAATTATTCGAGCTCACTTTTTAATAAAAAATTTTCAATATTTCTGTAGCTATTAGTTGTCAAATTATAAGTATATTAGAGAGATGATCATTAATAAATGCTTGGTGGTAGTTAATTACCCAGAAAATTAAATTGAAAAGTAAGACCGAGTGTTTAATTGCAATAAAAAACTATTTAAAAATAGTTTATATACAAATTGATAATGAAACGTAGTCTTTGTGGAATAACCCAAAAGAGGTGGCTTCTAAGAGCCATGCCATCGTGACAAATTGGAAGCCAGGAAGAGCAGCCGCCAGTGCAATGTACATGAAGTATAATCCAAGTATAGGATGTAAAATTATAAATGCAATGTGTGTAATTATTACTATTTGTTGCTTGGCATTAGCGCAAGTTAGATGGTCAACTCCGATGATTGTTCCCCAATCAATTGGCCAAGGCAAGAAGAAATGTAATCGACATTGGTCAAGCTATATTTTACATGTAAAACATATCTCAAAGATTTGTGTTCTATATAGCTATTGAGAAATATCTCTACAGTATGAATACATACATTAATACACAATACACATATGTACTCCGAAATGGGTTACACAATATAAGAAAAATAAAATTTTAGTAACCAGATAATTTATCATATTATTTGTTTTCGTTTCTTCTGAAAAATAATTTGTCATGTCAGACGACCAAGTCTTGTTTATTTATCGTAAAATCACCTGAGCTAGATCTCACAAGCAACCGTTGTCAAATGCCATCCAAATATTGTTTTTACCAATTATAGATCCTGAATGAAGTAGTTCATCAACGTCTAATTCAAGAGAGCAACCGTACAATTATATATGCTTACGCCTTCAACAGCACTTCATTTTTTTTCTTTATTCTTCCCTGATTGAAGTTGAGTCCTGACGTTGTATGTCCCAGTCACAATCTTTCTATATCTTAAGGGTCATTTTGGCGTTGTCTTCAATTTAGTCACTAAGTCGTTATCAAATCTTCATTACCTTCAATTCAAAGATAACAAGAAGGAGAGAGAAACTAGGCGTATGTCAATCCCAATTTCATTCCTTAAGACAAGGATTATATCCAACTAATTATCTCAAATCACCATAAAAAACGGCTTAAGAAGTGTACGAAACCTCACAACTCAGGCACGCATGCAGAGGAGAAATCTGAAACTTTGAGAAATCTGAAACTTTGAGAAATCTGAAACTTACTTTGGCCTAAGCATATTCTCTAGTCCAATAGCATTCCGACGATAATCAAACTTTCAAGGTTAATTGCAGAGTGTAGTGGTATTTCTACACCACATTGAAATATCAGAAAATCTCTATGTAACAGACCAACACCCACAATGGCAACGGCAATGGAGAAATAACTTTGTCTGGCCATTAAATGATGTAATTGCTAATAAAAAAAGGTTGGGATTAATAAGTGGTTAATCACAATAGTATAGGGCGTTTATCTGTAATCTGTAATGGATCCAACTTTTGATGAATCACAATCAACACCGTTTAAAACCAAAACTAATATGGAGCCAGTTCTAAGGACCAAAAAGAGTCAACAGTCGGAAAACTTCTCCTTAAAATTAGATGTCACCTAATCTTCTCCCTAAGTCGCCAGCCGCCTTGATTGCATGCCGAAAATCCCCCAGAAACAGATCATCTCTCCTTGAATCCAGGAAACCTTCAAAGAATTTCACATCCTTAACACAGAAGAAAACACATAATCAATCACTATATAGCAACAGGTTGCCAGTACACAAAATCTAAACACATCATCAAAAGAAAAGAAAAGAAAAGCCAAACAAAATGGCCTCATCATCTTCTCTCCTTCTGCTACTGCTCACAACATTATCAATATCTTCGATTTTCTCTCTTAAGATAACAAATGACATACTCCATCCGCAACAAGTCGATCCTAGAGCAACTGTGTATCAACTTATCGCAGCACACAATATAGCTCGAAAAGCTGTAGGAGTTCCACCTCTCGTTTGGGATACAAAACTCGCATACTATGCAAAACTCTATGCAAATCAAAGAAGACATGATTGTCAACTAATCCATTCTCCTGGCTATATTTATGGAGAGAATATTTTCTGGGGCAAAGGAAGGAAGTGGTCTGCAACTGATGTAGTGGCTTCTTGGGTTGGAGAGAAGAAATGGTACCATTACGATACAAACACGTGCTCTGGGCAAGACTGCAGTCATTATACGCAGATTGTATGGAGAACCACTGAGAAGCTTGGATGTGCAAAGATCAAGTGTGATAGCGGGGATATATTTGTGGTGTGTGAGTATTATCCACCAGGGAATTATGTGGGAGCTCGGCCATATTGAATGATTTAGACAATGTAGTTCTGTTATTTGTTCTTGTGGTGTGAATACTGATTACAGAAAGGATAAATGGTTGTAACTATAGTTATAAGAAAGTTTGTGTAATGTTTTATTATTTGATTAAATATTTATTGACTAAATTTGATATGTCCACAATGTCATGACTATGATTTTGTGAAGAATGTTATTTATCAGGACAGAGAATAAATACACTAGAAAAATAAGAAGGGACGTATTGGATGAAGTTTTTCTTTTCCCAATGTGCATTTGAGCACAATGGAGTACCTAGAATCTAAATTTATGTAAGGTAAGAGCCAAAGTGTATGTACCCTGATCAGCCCAGACATATTAAATTTGCAGAATAATTTTATCTCATCATTAACCTTAATGCACTTGATTAATCAGGAGATAAACTATACTTAAAAGAGTAACAGAAATTGGTCTTCCTTCAAAGTGCAATAACCTAGTCTTCAAGACTGAGCAACCCCCTTTCTAGTGCATACATTAGTTAGGATTTTGGCATCAGTCAAAAGAGGAGCAACGTCAACTAGATATCCATAGCGGTCTACCTATAAGAACATGATTA